GGTAGTTTAGCCTGTTTAAAAGAAATAGAGGATCCTTTTTTATCTCTTTGTGTATCTAAAACACCATTCCAGTCTCCCATTAATATAACAGATCTGTAATCCAACAAAGTTAATTTTTGATGTAACAGTCTGTAAAATTGTTCCTGTTGTTGGTTTGGTGCATACAGTCCCACTATAAGTACTTTCTTACCATACAAACCAACTTCAATCATAACATATCTCCCTTGAAGATCAGATTCTACCAAACAGGATGATAAGTTTTGCTTAACATAGATAACTACTCCCCCTTTTTTCCCAGGAGCAAATAGATTTCCTTTTTAAGATTCCCCAGAATGCATCCTTTCCCAAATTCTGTGAAAGCTCTGGAAAACCATTTTTTTTGTTTGTTTGTTTCCTTCATTTAGAAGCAGGCATGTCAAACTGCCGGCCCATGGGCCGGATGCATCACACCAAAACTGCGCCCATCCCATTGCTGGCAATGCGGAAAAAATCGCGATATGTCGCGTGACGTTACATGACATGCCTGATTTAGAGTCAAAGCCATGGGGACTTTTCCTGAAGTATCTAAAGCACAAAGATTGTTAAGAGGTGAAAAGCTCTCCTGAAGTTAGAATACGAGAAAATATTTCCCAGGCCAGAAACCCAGAGGAAATGGAATAAGAAATCAATGTAAGGAAAGATTAGAATCAAATTCTATTTTACTTAAGGGTCAGTACAAACACTTAATAGACTTATGCCAAATTTGGAGAGTACTTGCAGCACCTGTCATTTTAAATTTTAAAATTGATAAAAGAAAAACAGGAAATATTTAAGGCTATATGTTCATGTGTCACCTTCTGTACAATATTGACTATTGCAGAACATCAGAGAGAGAGAAATAGTCACGTTTTAACAACAAGGATGTATTGCCCACCAGATTATCCTGAACTGAAACACCAAGCAAATATGGCTAATGGCAGAGGATGCTGGGGGTGTTAGTTAAGTAATATCATATCTGTATGTTGTCAGCAACAAGAATGCTTTATGCACAAAAATGAAAAGATATTTTAATTCCCACAATGGATGAAAAACTGATGGAATTAGCAGAGATGGTTAAATTGACTGCTTTAACCAAAGACAAGAACACATCCAATTCTATTTCTGCTTGGAAACGGCTTCTGGGACTTTGTGCTTGAGATGGAAAAAAAAATGAAGCTTGACTTTGGTCTTTGCTGATTAGATAAACTTGTTGAAATGATTAGTATATATTAGTATGTAAAAGTAAAAAGTTGAGGTTGCAATGTTCCTGTAAGGACCCACCCCAGTTTGCATCTTAAGAAGACAGAACTCTTGGAATATTTCTTCCAACAGGCATTCTTTATTAAGAGAAAATGGTTGCAGGTGTTCTAGACAGGACCGGGGGCCCAAGCCTACGGTTCAAGATTTTAACGGGTCCCCAGCAGCCACACCCCACCCCACTATCTTTCCAGCGACAATCCCAGGTGTTACATTTCCACCCCCTTTTTCCTCACTGCTGGTGGAAGAGAGACTTCAGAAAGGAGTAGATGAAAGCTGATGGCCCCATTGTTATGCTTTAGTCTTTTGGTGGTATCCACATTCAATTCCTTTGAAGTTGTACCGAAGGAAGCGAGGGCCATAAAACCCCTTTGTTCACCACCACCCCTTCCCCTTCATCTACGACAGACTCCAGAGAGGGCAGAAATGGGGTTTTCCATAGTCGATAACTACAGATGAAATATAATTGGATTCTGACAGTTGCTATCTTAATGAAATTAACTATTTTAATTATTCTCTCTAGCTTTGTTTCTACATGGAAACCGTTTTTGGACTTTTTGCTCGACACTGATTATTAGAATTGTATGATTATAGAAATACTGTACAATACTGAATTTTAAATCAAAATATTGTTTTATATCGGTAACTATTGAAGAAAGTTGGAAATTATCTTTTTTCTACTTTTTTTCTTCACCCCTTTGTATTTTCCCATTTATTCCTTAATTCTGTTTCCTTGTTTTATTATATTTTAACTTTTCCAGAAATTTAATAAACTATATTTTAAAAATTCTCTTTGCTCTGATCTATAGCTCTCCTTTTCCAATACCATAGTACTTGAAAAAAATAGAAAAGTTATTTGATCAAAAACTTTCTCTCTGGGCCTCTTCGGAAATGCCGTTGCAGAGAAGACAGGAAATTAAATTCTTTTCATCCCAGGTAAAGAATGATGGAAAAATAACAGGAAGCAGCTTTTGGAGGAGAGCCCTTCTAACTTTCCTACATAATGCATTTCTGTAAGTTAGGCAAAGCTTAACCATGACTGGGCAAGTCGTTAAGTGCAAAACAGAGCATAACATAGAGTGTCACAGTGGTCCCTGGAACTTGCCCAGTGTCACCCAATATGTAGTTGGATCATCAGAGTCATTCAGCGTTCAGGAAAGGTAAGAGGACCTACTAGTATCTTCTGAAAAGTGGTGCATGTTCCAGAAGATGCTTAAGATGAGGCTGCCCCCTAGTGGCAGTGTCTTATTCTTCATCCGAATGAAGCATTAGGTGGGCAAGAGATTTTGGCTGAGGTTCAGAAACTAATGTTATCACTGAGTTTATTTTATTTATACTTATCCAGCCTTCATTTTTACCAATAATTCAGGGTGGCAAATATATCTTAATATTCCTTCATCCTATTTTCCCCCACAACAACAACCCTGCGAGGTGAGTTGGGCTGAAAGAAATTGACAGCCAGTTTTCATCCTTAAGGCGGGACTAGAACTCACAGTCTTCTAGCTTTTAGCCTGGTGCCTTAACTGCTAGACCAAACTGACTCTCTTATCCTTGTGATGATCCTTATCTTCCTTACTGTTAAATCACAGCAATATTGTAGTTAAGCAGTGCTATGAGAGTCCACAAATCACTAGGGAGGAAATTAGAAGCATTTTACTATTTGCTTTTAAGAACAAAAGTCATAACTGTGCACCATAATTACTGCAGAAGCCACCACAAGTAGCTAAATGAGCTGTTTTCAGGATGCAGTTTTCAAAAAAAATAAAGAGTGCCAGAAATATCATTCTCCATGTGCTCCAGAAATCTTTTAAGATTGTTTCCTGGTCTGGGGTTATTGTTTATGGAGCTCCTGTCAACTCTTTTAATATTGTCTTTTTATTATGTTTCTAACCATGTTTTTAAATGATGTGTAGCGTTACCCCCTCAAGGGCCGCCAAAGCCCAGGCCTTCCTAACCTCCCCCTTCGGTCTCACTCCCAGTCACGTTCTCAAACATTGGCAATGTCCTTTTGGCAGGAGTGAAGAAATGACAGGTTCTTGCGGTCAAGGGATTCACAGGAACAAAGATGACCAACCCCCAACCACAGCAGTCAGTGCCTGACGGTACTTAGCAGCCCCGGGCAGTCGTGGCAATAATAGTCAGTAGTTTATAGTAGCCATTTGGGACACAAAAGGGGTGGGGAGATCCTCCGGCTCCAGGCAGCAGTGGGGAAACACAAACGGGGACGGTCGGCACTCCACAGAGGCAGTTCCCCACAGTGTCTACACTTACATGGGTGATAATAAGCAAAATTTGGATGGCCGCTAGTCCCCGAAACCACAGCGACCAGCTTCTCCTTTCCTTTTGTTGATGCTCGTAATCCCAGGTTTCTCTATGACAATTTCCCTTCCCCCCCTTCTTTATTGTTAAAATCTGAATATAACACCCCAGCACACTTTCTCTCTCTCCACACTCTCTCTTTCCTCCACTCAAGATTTCCCCTTCCCCTGCAAAAGAAGCAATAAAACTCCACTCTCTCTCGCTTTCCTTCCATCTCCTTTAGAGAGACAGAATCAGCTAAAACCCTCAAACTCCTCTTCGGCTTTTCTCCTTTTCCTTTTCTCTCCTTCTGTCCGATCCACGCCCAACCGGCCACAGCTGTCCGAGCTTCCCTCTTTCCTGCCAGGCTCCCACAAAGCCTCTCGGCTAACCCCGCTACAGATGTATATGAGATATTGTAAACCGTTCAGAGTGCTTTCGAGATTCTTGACTGCAAGTAGATCAAAGCAGTCAGTCCTAAAGAAGATCCCCCCTGACTGTTCTTTGAAAGGACAGGTACAGAAGCTGTAGCTCAAATACTTTGGCTACCTAATAAGAAAGGCCTCCTTGGAACAGATCCTGGGAAAGATCGAAGGCAAAAGGAGAATGGGACAGCAGAGGATAAGATGATTAAATAGTGTCATCGATGCAATGAACATGAATTTGGGCAAACACCGGGAGGCAGTGGAGGGCAGGGCGGGCCTGGCGTGCTATGGTTCACAGGGTCACGAAGAGTTGGACACAGTGACTGAACAACAGCAATAACAAAAGCTGTCCAGGGGCTTTTCAGAGTGGGACAACCTTTTAAAATCTAATAAAGGAAGAAGTATTTAAATGTGTCCTGAAGGAGAAGGACACAGCCTGGGCTTCATTAAGTCTGTATATGGGTGCCTTCAAATTAATATTGACTCCTGGTGACTGACTGCAGTTTTCAGACTTGTTTCCGAAGTGGTTTGCTCTTTTCCTCTTCCTAGGACTGAGACAGGGTGCCTGGTCCAAAGTTACCCAGCTGGCTTTATGCCTAAGGCAGCTTTAGAACTCACAGCCTCCTGGTTTATAGCCTGATGCCTTTAGCTGCTATACCAAACTGGTTCTTATATTAACTTTACTCCTCGAACTGCACTTTAATTAACTTCCTCTAATGGATCAGCGGTTCCTAGGAGGTAGGTAGTGTTCGGTTTACCATTCCACTAAACCCCGATCGATTTATCCCTGGTTTATAAAAAAAAAAAAAAAACACCCTACAGCGACACGGCTTGCCAGCCACAAAGCCGGTTCCCAACCATGGTACACGAACCGCAACAACTGGGGCAGCGCATCAATTCAGCCACTTAACGCTGTGCGGCGTGTGGAACTCAGCGCTGAGCGCCGCGCAGCTCGGGTGCCGCGAAACGAAGGGCACCGAGCAAAGGAGAGCATGCCGGGAATCGTAGTCCTTCCTGTCTCGCGGGCGTCACCAGCTGGGGCGGCCCGAGCCATTCTCCCAGTTCGCGGGATGCCGCCGGCGCCCGTGTTTTGCGGGAGTTGCGGGACTCAGCGCGCTGCACTGCGACGCCCCAAGACCGGCCAAGCGCTGTGCCGAAGCTGCTTCGCGGCCGCCTTCGAGGCGGAGGTGCACGACACCATCGTGACGGCGCGGCTTTTCCAGCCGGGCGAGACAGTGGCCATCGGGGCGTCGGGCGGAAAGGATTCCACGGTGCTGGCGCACGTGCTGCGCCTGCTGAACGAGCGCCACAGCTACGGTCTGCGCCTGTTGCTGCTCTCCGTGGACGAGGGCATCGCGGGCTACCGGGACGACTCGCTAGCCGCCGTCCAGCGCAACCGGGGCCGCCTGGGCCTGCCCCTGCACGTGGTCTCCTACCGGGAGCTCTACGGCTGGAGCATGGACCGCATCGTCCAGCACACCGGCTCCAGGAACAATTGCACCTTCTGCGGCGTCTTCCGGAGGCAGGCGCTGGACCGGGGCGCCGTCTTGTTAGGGGCAGACAAGATCGCCACAGGTAAAAGGGCTGCGCCCGGGGACGGGGTGGTACGAAACGCCTGTAGAAATCAGTATGTTTTGGAGCCTGTGCAGAACGCCGTGGGGGGGGGGGGGGGAAGACCAGCCCGCGCACCAATCGGACGATGCAATTCATAAATTATTATCTGTTTGATTCAATAGAATAGAATAGATGTAACTCATATGTTGAATTGTGGGGTCCTTCGTGCTCTTTAAGTGCTGTAATTTACTTGCAGCAGTTTCATTATTGAACTACTAGGCGCACTGATCTTGTTACCTAGTTGGGTAATGAAATGTCTGTAAGCAAATGATCAAGGACTCCACCTATCTGGTTATTGGAAAGGCCACCGAGATTTTAGGAAAGGGTGCCAATGTTCAACCCGTTTTGAGTTTCTGCTTACTTTTCAACAGAACTAAGTCCTATCGGTTTTACTGCTCCCAAGTAAGAGATTGCAATATGTGCATATGTTTCAGGCTTCAACCTCCATAAGCTGCAGCTAAAATGGCCAGTGGCAGGGATTGTGGGAGCTGTATTCAGAACATCTGGAAGGCACCGGGTTGCTTCAGTTAGTAGATGGTAATACTGGGTTTGGACAATGTGCTAACCATATTGTGGTTTGAGTTTACTTTGGGTTTACTCCATTGTGTGAGGCCAGCCATTTATGATTTATTAAATAAATCATGTTAAACAAATGGGGATTAGTATGTTGTTTGTAATTATAAGATTAACTCCTTTAAAACTTAGTCATGTCCTAAAGCTTTTGGAATAATGGGGAAATTAACTTTGTTAGCATTATGGATAAGTACAGACATCACATTGAGTAATAGGGCAGTGTTTCTTAAGCTCAGCAATTTTAAGATGTGTGGATTTCAACTCCCAGAATTCCCTAGCAGGCCTGCTGGCTGGGGAATTTTGGGAGTTGAAGTCCACCCACCTTAGAATAGCTGAGGTTGAGAAATACTGTAGTAAAGTATCTAGTCTGGTTTGGATTGAGCATGTTGTGCGAATGCACCCTGATGTATAGCTGAGGAATTTGTGAACCTGGCCAATTGTATCTCAGTGAACAAAGTATGATGCTGAGCACATGTAGAGTCAGGATTTTTATTTTCTTTATTTTCAGCTTCAAAACCAAACCGAGCTTGCTTATTAAAAGACTTGGAGTTCCTTCTTTCTCAATGTTGCACTGTAATTTTGAAAATCTTCTAAAAGTCTTTGAGTTGCTAAAATTACTGTTTCCATGTGTATTATTGATCAGTCAAAGATTTGCTAGTAAACCAGACCCACTTTCTGGCAGTTTCTGAGGAAGAGGGTTGAGGTTCCAGCTGTAAAAGAAAACTCAAAGCCCATTGGTCCATTTCATCCACCCTGTCGCACTTCTCTTTGCTTCCTAGGCCATAATGCGGATGACGTGGCTGAGACAATCTTGATGAATTTCCTGCGGGGTGACGTTGGCCGGCTTCAGCGCTGTGCCGAAATCCTGACGGGTGGCGAGGGAACCCTGCCTCGCTGCAAGCCACTGAAGCACGCTTGCGAAAAAGAGATCGTGCTTTATGCCTACTTCCAAGGCTTAGACTACTTCAGCACCGAGTGCGTGTACGCCCCCAATGCCTACCGGGGCCATGTCCGTGCCCTGCTAAAAGACCTGGAAGCTATCCGACCCAGCTCAGTGGCTGACCTGGTGCACTCGGGGGAGCGTCTGGCTGTCCGCAAGGACATTCGCTTGCCCATCCAGGGCACCTGCCGGCGGTGCGGCTACTTCTCCAGCCAGCCCCTTTGCAAAGCTTGTGTACTGCTGGAGGGGCTCAACCGTGGACTCCCTAAGCTGGCCATTGGCAAAACCAACCGCCTGCAGAAGGCTTTGTTGGAGGGGGAAAAGCCAGAGGCTGGTTTAGAAATGGAGGAGAACTCAAGGAAAGCAAATCGAATTGGAAGGACAATAGACTTCTGAATGCCCCTTTTTTATGCCTACATTTCCTGGTCAGGTTTGCTGAGGTGGGATGGGATTTAAAAAAAAAAAGATTCTTAAGAATGAATTGCATAGATCAGGCAGTTGGGAAGCAACTCACCCCCATCCCAGTTGCTGGACCACAAGTCCCAGCAGCATGGGCAAGGGTGATGGTTCTTTGGCAGTAATATTGCAAAAATCATTGGATTCCCAGCTGTGGTGCTGGTTACTATCAGTGTGTTTGCACTATAAGGGCAGGAACCACATTCTGTGCCGTTCTTGCCTCTTTGGTGTGTTGGGCTTCAGGCCCCTTCCTCCTCATTCAGCCTTTGCTACTGTTGGCTGGGAGTTGTGGAGACGGCCCGCACATTTGGAGGGAGGAGGTTGTGATAGAGGTTGCTTTCTGTGCATTGCTGCTGTTCCCAAAATGGTGGTTGCAGCCACAAGGTTAAGGGTGGCCTCTAGTTGCAGAAGAATGAGACCATCCTTCACAGAAAGGAGCTCAAGGTTGGGGCGGCAGATGACCATTGTTGCCTTGCCTTTTTATTCTTCCTATCTTCACAGATCAGCTCTCCAGGTGGTTCAACTTTCTGAGTGATCTAGAAAGTCAACAGTAACCAGGCTCATCAGTTGAGTTAAACCAGGGGTTCCCAACCGGAGGTGTGTGAGACGATATTCCAAGGGGTGCAAAAACTTGGATTTTCAAAATTATAGTGTATATGCATAATTCATTGCCGTTATTTCAAACTTTTGTAAGGGATGCAAGAATATGTCAGAAGTGTTCTAGGGGTGTGGGGTATAGAAAAGGTTGGGAGCCGCTGAGCTAAACTAAAACCATAGTTGTTGGCTCAGCTATGATTTGTTGAGCAAATCTCTGAGGAAAGTGGGCGACTTAGAAATATGAAATAAATAAACCATGACAAATAATAGAACTTTATTTTGGTCCTTGATTATTATAAAAATGCAATCAATAAAATGAACAACACAACAAAAACCCATTGAGTCCTCTGCACCTTCAGCATTTGAGTCCCCCCAGAGGGTAACTTGAAAGTGAAATTTGAAAGGTAGCTCATAATTCTTTATGTCTAGTTTTTTTTTGTAGAATAATTTCCACCAGGGATAGATGATTCATGTAGGAGTCACCATCCTTCTGAGGTCAGTTTCAGGTCAGCCTATTTTGTTTGAAAGAAGACAAGCATTGTCAAGAAATGTTTGGCTGACACTGAAATTTAGGATTTTGTTACATGTATGTTTCTACTGCTCTTTGGCAAATGGAGTTGTCCTTATCAAGGTTCAAACTGCTGTGTGGTCTTTAAAATAGCAGAATTTTTTTTGGCTTCCTTAAAAAATTGCTTTGAATATAAATTGTTCCAAATTTGTTGCATCTCCCTTTTCAGCCACCACGCTACTGGCTATCTTGCACAGCTAGAAATACCCAGCCATCGCTTGCTCAGTGTCACAATTCTCCCATTTGCAATTTTGGATGGCAGTTGTTAAACAGTAGCCATATCTGACAGGCTGTGTCGCCATGATTGTGAAGTAGTGAAAACCACAGAAAAGGTATTTGTTGCTCCTTTTGTAGACATTTGAACGAGGTTTGTCCTCCTGACCATTAGATACCTTAATTTCTCACCCTCAGCCTATGCCCAGATTCTCCTTAGAGATGAACTACCATTTAGTATTACATCCTGTTGTACTATCATTCTACTTGAACCTTCAGCCCCTCATAAAGGAACTCCTAGGAAGAGACAACCATGGGAACCTACCATGACTATGGTTTGAGGACATCTGGGGATTCCCCAAGACCATTTGAGAAGTTTGCAAAATCAAAATTATTTGCCAGATATTGAAGATATTTGGGGACATTTAAAACAATGTCACTTCTCATTATTTTTCATTTGTTAAAAACTGTTTTTTCCCACGAACAATATTTTATTTACACTAATATCTAGTAAAGGAGTATCCAGCCTTGACAACTTTTAAGACTTGTGGACTCCCAGAATTTCCCAGCCAGCATGTTGAAGTCCACAAGTCTTAAAATTGCCAAGATTTAACATCCCTGATCTAGTGGATTTAATACTGTGCATATTTATTTTTACATGATTGAAAATTTCACAAATTTGTTAATTTTAAATATAGCAAACATCCATAAATATAACATACGCATACAAAAGCTCATCCATCATTTTTAAAAGTGAGAAGGAAGTCTGAGGGTAAAAAATGTAAACACTTTTAGCAGAAAAGACCACTCTCACCCATAATGTAGCCGTATTTTGTCTTTCTGCTACAAGAATGAAGCAATAAGCATCATCTAATAAAATTGCGTTTCCCTGACATTTTAAATTTCCTATTCATTTCCTTTTCTTCTTTTAAACTCTTTAAATTGCTACTTTTTTGTATGTAGAATGTTTATATACATGTATAAATATATACACTGGCCAAGGACTGCAATAAAGTTTATATGGCTACCATTATTACAGCACATACAGATTTTACACAGCAGTGTGTAAAATCCACCGGGTCTTGACAGCTCAAGTTCCTATTATATATTATGTAACTGTAGCTATCACATTTTATGTAATTTTAGGTATTATTCCACTTATAGCCAGGCATAGATTGGATTACTATACACTTATGGGTCCAAGTCAGGCTATTTCATAGATGCATTTTAATTTGGTTTTATTTTTTTATTTTAATGGTTTCTTCAGCTAGACCAGTGGTTCTCAACCTGTGGGTCGGGACCACATTTGGGGTCGAACGACCATTTCACGGGGGTCGCCAAACAACGCAGTCCATCATTTTTTTCCCCCTTTTCCTTAGCTGTGCTACTCCCTTTTATTCTATTGGCTTTTGAAAGCCAATAGAATAGACTCTCTTGAATAGAGTCTAATTCAAAAGCCAATAGGAATTGTCCAGGCTGTCTCTGCCCTGCTGAGCCCGCCAAAAGTCCCATTCTGCAAACAGTGCTGCACCAGTTGAGTAATCCTCGACTTACGACCGGTTGAGTAGTCCTTGACTTACGACCGGTTGGGGGTCGCGGCATTAAAAAGGTTGAGAACCACTGAGCTAGACCATTTTGTAGGTGTTTACAGATCACTTACTACTACATTTCCTGCATTGGTCTGAGACTACAATAAAATGACTGACATACACCTGTACCAATGTTAGCTACAGCATGCTTTCCTGTGGAGGTCAGGAACAACACTGTGTTCAGGAACTGTTCCATGATAACATGGCAAGCAAATCAACAAGGGAAATTTAATGTAATGCCAATTGCTACAGTTCAAAGTGCATAGTTAACAAAGGAATGAATACCTCTATATTCACTATCCTAAAGCTTTCAATTGTCCTGTTCTATCAAACCCTTCTCATTGAACCAATAGTACAAGGCCTGGGTGTAAAGCAAGCACCTAGTGAATCAGAAGGTAGAGAGGGGATTGGTTGGGCGGTGTCCTGGATTCAGAATAAAAATATGGGAATGGAATACATATCTTAAGAGATTGTTTCAAGAGTAGCTTGGAATCAGCCTGGAGTGTGTCTTCTCATTTTACATACCATATTGAACCTGCATAAGTAGGAAAAAAGGGAGAAATAAGCATAAATAAGGTCACAGCAAAATTGTACCTGGAGCAATTCACTCTTTGCCTCCCCCTCCAGGCTGCTGCATTTAGGAAAAGTATTGTGATAAGAGAGATCTTCTCATTGCATGAATCAGCTCCAGGATCTCAACACAGGAAAGGTTAGCCCTTCATTCTGGCTTTAATTGAGATAATTATGATTTCTTCTGCCTTAATGGAGATATCAGCATTATTTTTAAAAAATCCTATAAATTTAATAAAAAATTAATTTATGGTCACCTCTGTCCACAAGATTAACATTCAGTGGTTGATTCATACAATAAGCTAAAGCTATCACTCAAGTTAACAAACATCCTATGTTCCCTCCCTTCTGCAATAAAATAAATATCATGGCTTAACATATGCTTCTAGACTTGCTGCCAAAAATAAATTCCAGAACTATAAAATAAACATATATTCTTAATTTGGTCAGGAATACCATGTAGGAATAGTTTATTTTTGAATATTGGTTTAATAATAGTTTTGCTAGTATTTTCTTGATAGTGTTTGTTATGCACTATTAATGTGGAATCATCTCCATTCTGAAATTTGAGAGGTGTTTGCTATAGAATTTTTTAGTCACCTGTTAAAAATTCATCTCTTCATTCAAGGCTTCCTGTTATGAATATTTTAAGAACATTTGCCCTCTTCAGTGTTTTAATGAATATTTAATTTACTAAATATTGTTTCATATCATTTTAATGGAAGCAGCATATAAATACATTAAATACAATTGATATTTTATTTTCTCCTTAAGCCTTGCATTTTAAAAAGATTTTATAGATGAAACCAATTAAAAGAACTTTAAGGCAAAAAAATTTTTCTAATCACTGAGTAACAAAGATTTTCAGAAATCAGCAAAAAAAGTCTTTTCTCCTAAAAACTTAAATAAACAACTAGTAGAAAAAGGGAAAAATTAAGGCGGTAGTTAAAGCTTGTAGTGTAGTTACTTAAACATTTAAAATATTTTAATTGAAAAGGAAAATATTCCTATAGCTCCAATAAGAAATACATATACAATTAGTTCCAATCAATCCAGATCAGAAATCATAACCTAACTAACCTATTCAGAAAGGTTAAAAAAGAAACCTTCCACAAACACTTAAAAAAAAAAAAGATAAAATGGTGGATCGCATTAGAGCTTTCCGCTGCAGCACCATGGCCCAGGCGTCCCGAGCCGTCGCCCTGAAGCGGGAACTCCGCCCTTCCGCCCCATTGGCTCGCTCGAGGACGAGGGCGCCCAGCGCGATGTGTTTACGTCACGGTTCCGAGAGAGCAGCGGCCAATGGGACCTACCCGCTCGCGGGTTCCCGATGGGCGGCAGCATGCGCAGGAGAAAGTGGGCGGGGGCTCCAATGAGGGCGGGGCCGGTAAAGTCACGTGACGTGTCCCTGCCGATGTGGTCAGCGACTGCTGGGGTCACGTGATTCGTTGCCTACGCGCAGTGGGGCCGGGTGCAGATGGCGGACGCCGAGGCTGACGCGGCCCTGCCGCCGGAGATGCAGCGGCTGGCCGCTGGCCTCCGCTCCCGGCTGTGGCAGATGCAGGCGGAGCTGCGTGAGCGGGGGGCGGCGGAGGCGGCCTCTTCCAGCGCCTATTGCCGAGGGTTCTGTCAGGTAAGCGGGGGGGGGGACGTCCCGGGGCGGGCCTGGGGTGGAACGGCTTTGGCGGACGAGAACTAGGGGACCGGACCGGACCGGGATGCCCCTCGGCCCGGGGGCGGCAGGGTCTGGCGGGGCTGCGCGGAGGGCGAAGGTGGCAGCGAGCCGTTGCCTGGTGCTGGGAGGCGGGGCTGGGATACCGCGCAGAGATCACCGCCGACGTTTCCCTTCGCCGTTGCCGTTCGCAGGCTGGGCTGGGAATCCCCGCCTCTGCCCCCTCCTATTGGGGGGGTCCCTTCGTGTCCCACCCCCACCCCGCTTCCCCAAGGTAGCCGCGGATCCAGGGCTGGCTTTCGGCGGGCTCCATCCCTGATCCGCCGCCTCCTTTTATCGCGGGGCGGGAGCGGTCCTAATTTCTTCGAAGGAGGGTCCAATCCAACTCCCGCACTCCTGGGGGTCTCCCTCCCACACCAGCTCGCACCCATTTCTGCCCCCGCACCCGCTTGTCTCCAAAAGCCGACCGTAGCGGGAACTGATTTGTAGCGCCGCGCGTGCAGGTTGGCGCAACCGCCTGTTTGAACTGCCCGCATGTATCTCGCGCTTGGCCTCCGAGAAGCGGGAGGTCCCGATAAGCGAGCGGGGGGGGCTGTCCTGCCCTCGATTCGGGTGCAGCGTCGCTGCTCTTGTACGGCTTGATGGTGACTTCTTGGAGGCAGGAAGATAAATAATTTAGGGGGGGTCTCAAGAGAAGATAATATAAGCCGGTTCACAGTTCAACTGTTCTTGGTGTTGATGAAGCCTTGGCGGTTTGCCTACAGACGTTTCATTACCCAGCTGAGTTACAGCATCATTGACAATTAACACTTTACAACATGAATAGGTAATGAAACATCTGCAAGCAAACAACCAAGTTAGTTTGGGCAGCTTTTTGCTCAGGAAGGATGAAAGGAGTAGATTGGGTGATTTGTCTCAGGACCATTCTTGCCACAGTTGTTAAGGGAATCAATGCAGTTGTTAAGGTTGTTAAGTGAATCTGGCTTCCCTATTGACTTTGCTTGTAAGGTCACAAAAGGTGATCACATGACCCCAGGACACTGCAACTGTCATAAATATGAGTCAGTTGCCATGCATGCGAATTTTAATCATGGGGATGCTGCGATGGGAATAAGTGTGAAAAATGGTCATGAGTGACATTTTTCAGTGCTGTTGTAACTTCAGAGAGTCGCTAAATGAACTCTTGTAAGTCGTGACTCATATTTTTGACAGTCGCAGTGTCCTGGGATCATGTGATCACCTTTTGTGATCTTACAAGCAAAGTCAGTAGGGAAGCCAGATTCATTTAACAACTGCATTGATTCACTTAACTGTGGCAAGAAAAGTCGTAAAATGGGGCAAAATCTACTTAACAACTGTCCTGCTTAACAACAGAAATTTTGGGCTCCATTGTGGTCATAAGTCACTACCTGTTTGGGTAGTGTTTCAGCTTTGCTTTTCAGGTCTGTGTCCTCACCTTGATGGCCACCACCTTAGAGATCTTTTCCAGTTCTTTAATTGAGTAAAAGGGGAAAATGTATCTTGAAGGATGCTTGAATCCAATCTCCATGTAAGGAAAGCTGTGATTTATTTTCTTTCTGTACTTGTCCTATTTCATATGAAGCAAAATATCTATTGATTTTGGACTGCGTTAGGAGCTATCTGAAGTCTCTTCAGAACTGAATAAGTATGCTGGAATCTTGCCTTTGGGGTTAGATAGATGCTTGTTGTGGTAGTTCCTGAACTGGGATATCTTCTTTGCTGGATAATTACTTTGCGTTCTTTTCAATTTCATATAGCTGCCATGCATTTTTAAAATGAATGTTGTAGGTGTATTAGAGAGCAGTTGGCTTAATTTATGTTTATTGTAGATGCTTTGCATTTTAATCAGAGCTTTTTTATGATTTGAGTTGTGTTTTTATGTTTTGGAAACTTTGTTGACTAGTGTCAGTGGAATGATAATGGAATCTGGGTTCAATTATATGTTTGTCGATGATTTGGAAACTAATCTTTGTGTGGTATTCTTCTGGAGAGTATAATTTTTTAATAAGAAAAAATGGGTTTGCCATTCTTTCTCTTCATG